ATACCATTCTTCCTGAAAAACGGTGGCAAGTTCAGATAACGATGTTGGCGGTGGATAACGAGAACGCACTTTCCGTTCCAATGTAGACCACAAAGGTTCGATAATATTCAGGTCTGGTGACTGTGGTGGCCAGGGGAGATGGAACAACTCATCCTCGTGCTCAGAAACCCAGTCCTGGACAATGTGAGCTGTATGAACAGGGGCTTTGTCGTCTTGGAAGACACCATCCCCATCGGGGAACAAAGTTTGTACCATGGGATGAACTTGATAGGCCAAAATGTTCACATAAGTCTTGGCAGTCATGTGCCCTGACACAGTTATCATGGGGCTAGCAGAGAACCACGATATGGCTGCCCAAACCATAACAGAACCCCCGCCATCTTTCACTCTTGGCAACAAGCAGTCTGTATTATAGGCTTGAGATGGCGTTCTCCAGACGTAAACTCGGCCAGAAGTGGGAAACAATGTGAAAGAAGACTCGTCAGACCATATTACTCGCTCCCACTGCTCTATAGTCCAGGCTTTATGACTTAAACACCACCTTTTCCTGTTACGGGCATTAGCATCATTGATGAGTGGCTTCTCAATTGCAGCACGGCCAGCAATTCCCTGTTTATGAAGCTCCCTTCTAATTGTTTTGGTACTCACAGGGTTCGGTAACACAACATTCATTTCAGCAGTAATCTTATTTTTCGTCAGAATTGCCCTTAATGATCGTCTGTCACGATCGCTCAGGACACATTTTCGTCCGCGCTGTGATTTAGCAGATGATGTTTTTCCGCTTTTCAAATATGCGGAATAAATCTTCGATACAGTACCTCTTGAAACACTAAACACCTCGGCTACCTTGCTTACGGAAGCACGTACCATACGAGCTCCAACAATTTGCCCACGTTCGAAGTCTGTTAACTCTGACATAATGCAATGACAACCTCACATAACAGTACTCCGACAACAACTGAACTGTTAAGCACATTTACGAAGTTGTATAGGTGGCGAAGTTGTATAGGTGGCATCAGTAGTCAAAAACGCCAGCGCCACCTACATATTTCATTAAAATCAATCTTTCTTTTCAAACATGGATTTTACAACGTGTTTCCATATTTTTGTCCATCCACTGTATAATAGTTCACCGACATTTAGTTCTTACAAATTAGTGTTTATAATAGTTCTTAATAGTTAATAATAAATAAGTCCATAATTAGGTAAACAGTATTTGACAGTCTTCGAATCCTTACGAGGGCGCAGCACATTTTTCTCGACCTCATTTCCAATTTCCTGGCAGAATGTACATTTCTAGTTCGCGCGATATTTAAATAAGATAGAAAGAAGAAATTATTTAAAAGAAGGTTTTAGAGGATTGACTCAGAGAGTGTTCTACCTGCTTGAAGGCCACGTTGCTAATATGTTTCTCTCCCGAACAGTATTCTGGGGCGTTGAAATATTCTCGCCATTCCGCAGTCCTTAGATGCTTGCGTGCTATTGCAATTGTGTATCCGTTAGGCTAACTTGCTTTCATTAGTTTTAGTGAATCCGTTGTCTTTGAGTTGAGCCATAAATGTTGGCTTTTGTAAGCCTGAGTTTGTGCCGTCTGTCAAATCAAATCAAAGGATCCTTTACACCCTTTCCCTTTCTCTGTGATACTTACAAGACGTAGCGAAAATTCACTTACATCTTTTAGAGTTCAGTATCGTTTATATCACCTAAAAACGGGAAACACTATTTGAAATAAATGTCAACATGAAAATTTCATATTTGGATATCAATATATTTGAATTGCAAACTGTAACCAGGAAAAATGTCTTGCAGGTACAAAGCTTTAGATTTCACGCAGAAAATAAATATTCTAAGGTATTTCTCCCGCCTTCCTAGCGTGCCTTCGTGGTGTAGTGGTACTGCACGCTGGGCCGGTATTCCAGTGCTTCGATTCCCGGCGAAGGCGTTGCTCATTTTCCCTCCTGCCCTCTGCCAGAGCACCTTCGATAGCAATTCTTTCCTTCCCACTACATCACATATCCAGTGAATAGACTATTCACGGACTATTACTGCAACAAGGCATCTTAGAGATAATGAAGCAAGTGAATGAAATAATTATATCCAAGACACTAAAGATTAATGTAAAATGTAGAAAGGCGGCCTAACCGTCAGATTGCTAGCAATGACTAGGATGACTTCCTAACCCTGTAGTGCCATTAACTTAGTTTGGCGGAACAGGTTAATTAAAGTGACCCTATCTTGCCTGCTTAAAAAAATACCTAATGTCTCTACAATATAAATCTGATTTTTTTTTTTGCTTTGCGATATTATTATTAATGGTTTTGCCTGTTTTATAAATATTTAGTAAATGAAACTTAAAATTTATTTAATTTTTTTTTATTAGTCCAAAGGGACTTGAGTCCCGAAGGACTATTACTTTCGTTTTGGCATTTTGCGTCGGACTCATAAATGTCGGTTCACTTTTCAAACTGTTGCCACAAAATGTTAGAGTCCTGCATTATATTTGAAGAAATTAAATAATGAAAAATCTGCGTAAATGTATGTATATTTCTCACATTGTCATAAAATAACGGTACATAGAGTCATCGAATTTTGAATAACGTATCCTCCAACGAATATGAGCATGTGGGAAGACCAAATTTGAAATTTGAAATTTGTTTTATGATCGATTTCCTATTTTTTAAAACTTTGACGAATTTTTGATTAACAAACTCAAGGATTTCAAAGCGAGCAATGGCAAACGTTGTGCAGAAAAAACATTTTTATCTCCAGCGCGTGAGTCTCTGTATCGGAAATTCTAAAGATATGCTCGTTCGTTTTAAAACTATTTTGCGATATTGCTGTTGCACTGGATCTTATGGTTTAAGTGCGAGGAACATGATATTTAATAAAGAAAGGTAACACACAAAATGTTAAAAAACGCCCCTTTGGACGTAATTTAAAATCTGAAACATTTCAGATTTTTTATTTATTTATTTATTTTTAATAAAGAATTTTCATTTGTTAAAAGAGAAAAAAAAAGTGGAAAAGGAAAAAGAAAGGAAAGGAGTTCTGATCCGTCAGCTCTTTTCCGATTCTTTATTAGGTTTGAAACCACTGTTACAGGTTACATAATAAGTTTCACTCAGCCAGTATTTATCAACATACCATGACATAAACACTTATTTCAAAATACCAGCTGTATTTATTTCACATTTCTTATGTAAAATGTCTTAGAACAGACTGAAACCAAATAAAATATTACACATAAAAATTTCAAAATGCCATTTTAAATATGTATAATTTTATGCAAAGTATTTCTCTTTTTAAAAAAGATTAATTCATGCTAATGAAAATGCTGCAGAAGTTTGGAAAAAGAAGTTAAGTTTAAACCATCATGATTAAACTCATCTTTTCAACAAGTCTTGAAATCGTCAATCATTTTAAAGACTATCACTGGATTCCGGTTTCTTCTAGACAGTATCATTCATGTGTTCTTTTATGGGAAAAGTGTATTTACGCATACAACGTTCTTCTTGCCATGGATATAAAAGTATGGATCCTTTTGCGAATGATTTGTATCAAAATTCAGTGAACGTCTTTCTTCTTGATTTTCAGTAGTGCCCTTAAAATGTACAGTACACTATAAATTAACACAAAAATGTATGGAAATGTACATGCATCAGTACGTTTGCAGTAAATAATATCGGGGAATGTACGACTCATCAGAGACTGAGCTGTAAAGTCCCTGAACGCTGATAATTGGGTCCGGGGACCGAATCCGTGATTTTTACCGCCCTCAACGTGTATACGAGCCAGTTTTCCTTAGAAAGACATCCACGAAGGCATTCTTCTCTTAAGGCTGCTATCATACATCCGTTTGTTTCGGAAGAACACCAATTTTTCTGCTTTGTCACAACAGCCAATCACCACAGATCGCTTTGGGGTTAAAACAGGAGAAACTGGTTCTCCATTATAAACAAGCTGATAGCATTCGAAGCTATAAATTAAGCTGATTGGTTGAAAACAAACAACTTGCAATTTTTTTTTTAAAGGAAGGAAAAAAAAATCACGTGTCTTTCCTTCAGTAGTAAACCAGGCATAAAAATTGTCCGAAACAGTTGTTCGTATGAAACAACTGCGTGAGTGATATGGGCCTTAGAGAGACAGCCCTCGAGTGCTTTGCCATAGTAAAAGGTGTAGAGAATTTAGATTATTTAGAAGCAGGAGATGGGAAAAATGTGACTCGAACCACAGACCTCCCGAATACGATCCGAGTGTGCTACCCACTACACTAGGAAGGCATGCTAAGAATTCAGGATAAATACCTTATAAAGGAACCAAACCAAACCAAACGGATAATATAGATTTCTGACCAAGGCGAGGTCTACAGATAACCACCCGACTAGAGAATCTGGAATGTTAATCTCGATACCAACACTGACGACCGCTCTCAGTAGTAGAAAACAAAATTTTTATATCAAATCTCCTTCAACATAGGCGCAAGCCTTAAGATGCAATTTCCAAGGAAATGTAATGATGATTTTCATGATATCAAACTGTGTGTATTATGTCTTACTTCTGTATGAATAACATCTGCAGTTAGTGAAGTACTTCATCGATTCATTTTTATCGAAGCAGTTATGGGATATTTTTACACAAGATCATACATCTTTCTTAGTACATACACATTGACTTTGCTTATTTAACATGAGGTTAGAAATAAATGATGATTGAGTAATTAACTGAAAGGTATATGGAATTACATTCTTCCCCTCCATGCCTGCTCTCGTGGTGTAATTAGTAGCTCGTTCGGCTAGCAATCGGATTATCCGATAAGGGTAAAGCTAATTTACCCTTACCGATAATATGTACTCATGTAGTATTATTTAACTAAGTATTATATATAATAGCTAAATCAAACTCCCAATTTCATCGCTTTTTAACTGCTGTTATGTATTCTTTATGACATGGCAGAATCACTTTTGTAATCAGTTGTCAAGAATTTACATCTTTTTCGGCAGGTGGGTTATACGACGTGTGAAGAACAAGATCGCATTCTTAACTTGGCGTATACCATCGGTAGCTTCTGCATGGGGTCTACGTCTTTCATCTGGGGATTTCTGCTGGACAGATGGGGACTCCGCAATGTTCGTCTTATAATAAAGTAAGTGAAATTATCATCCATTAAACAGCTTGAATATTTTATGCCTTTTTATTTTTCTAACTCCATGACGTAATATTAACGATGAACTTAACAGAAAAGTTACAGATGCAAAAGCCTTAACTTTAGAAATGCATTGAAACGAACGGGAAAGCACCTATCATCATAGAAACAAAGTAGTATTTTATCAATGTCAGACGGTAACGTGGTTAGGGGTACCGAAGGGTCCGGATTCGAATCCCGGAGAAGGCATGGATGTTTGTAAATGTATAAAGTGTTTTCGGTCTACATATATGGTGAGCCGAACGTGACAAGTGGGACATTGAGATTGGTAGCAACAGCAACACAACACAGCAACAAACGTAAGTTGACCAGAAACCCAGAAAATATAGTTACCTAGAAAATATAGTTGGAAATAAATATTTTAATAGACGTAGTTGGCAATATTAGCCATAATTCACTTAAGAAGGTAAGATAATGATTGTGTCTTTTCAATTAGCGATCGATGCGGTATGTTCGGTCATGAGTATGCAGGTCTTTCAGAACTGCCCTCCAAATTCAAAGTGCTTACCATCCTCTGGTCAAAAAAGTTAATCTCCATTCCATCCATGATAAAGATATTGTGCCAGGTAGTGCTTCAAAATGGTTACGCATTTCTCGTGAATAAGTGCACATCACGCAGAATCTCCCTGATGCAAAATTCTTAGTGAAAGTAGTGGACAAACTGTTATTCCTGATCTCGCGCTTATGATTTTCACGTGGTCAGGTTTACGAAAAAAGAATTTGCGAAGATGCGACATTATTCCGTTTATGAGGTGAAAACTGTTAGGCAACAAACATTATCAAAAGCTGAACAGGAATGCTTCCAAACAAAGTACCTACCGTGCCACAAATGTTTGAACAAATTTGATATTTTGTGATTATGCATAAATGTTGTTTTAACAGTATACCTTCATACAAATTGAAGATTTATTACACGTATTTTATATGCTGACTTTTTTCATGTGAGTGCAATTACTTTTTCGAATGATCCTCATAAGCTGATACTTTATTTTCTTAACAATCGCATTAAAAAAGTTTAATTTATTGAACTTTCCAGCAGTATTGTACTACTAGACTTTCCAGCAGTATTGTCTGTAAGTCGGGGTATAAAATCTTAGCTTAGTTACAGTTTAAGGTTTAACATACCTAATGCACTTACTAGGCAATTAATACCAGACGCTGTAGGTATTAATCTCTTGTTCCAGTGGCTGTTATTTACAACGCTTAGAAGTTCTTTTATTCTACACATTACATATGACGTCCAAACTAAAATGGTGAAATATAACTCATCGTCATGTTGTTGTTGCTTTTCCCCCGGATTCTGATGAAGTCAGAAAAGGTTCAAAAGGCAGTTGGCTCTAAGAACGTCGAGCACAAAGAGGGTATTGGTATAAATATCCTCCATATAGAGGTCCAAACAGAGCAAAACATATTCAGCAGAAGACATGTTCTCGGCACTAAGTGCATGTGGAAAAGATTTTCATGCCCGCCGTGAAAGAGAGGCACTTCATGTGACCGTTGGCAGTACGTGAGAGCGCTCTCTGGGAGCTCCTGTCACACCAAGGTTTAGTGTTCAACCAGGTCTGCTAGCCAAGTACCAGTGATGGGTAGGGAGCACAAGCCATTCCACCAAGATTTGTGATTTTATTAGAAAGCATAGTTTTGAGAAGGGAGGGCGAAAGAGGAGGAGCTAAATACCACACATGGAAGTAAGAAGAAAGAAGGTCCTTTCTTACCTTCATGATACCACAGCCTTCCTTTGAATGTGGGAGCTCATTTTGCAGGGAGCTCTTTTGTCCGCCATTTTGTTGCCTTAATGATTCACATGAGAGAGGATCCACTGTAAATGGATATCATGGTGCTGGGAAATTAGGTGTAGTTTATGTAGGATAGAGATGCTTATGTTGTCACCCACAAGAATCAGTCATCAAGATGTTGTAGGAACCTACATTTATCAGATAAAATCAATAAAAAGTGCTTTTCTTTTAGGATAGTCTCAAGCCCCAAATTGATTGCTATCAGTTCACTCCTGAAGACAGAACTGTAATTTGGATTACGATGACAGAGATTTATTTTTCCATGGGGGAGGTGGTCTAAATACAAATGCCACTAAATTGGATGGTTAGAAATTTTACTGCCATCTGTGAAGATCTTAAAAGCATTTACTTACTACTTACTCATCATCTTATTTACTTACTTACTCATCTGTTTACCCATCATCATACATCTAATGATCAACTGGCCTCTTATCAAACTAAGTGTAGACATCTATGAAATCAACGGCATTCCTTCTTTTACTTGCTCTTATAGTGCAAGTGTTACCAGTGAATTCAACTAACTACTCGTTAAAACACAATTTATATTGTAAGATATTTCTCTCTTCCCGTTTCCTAATTGCATTCTGTCATGCCAGAAGTGCGTGAAATATTTTCAAAAATATGACGACTTTAATATACATTTAACTATGCAATAATGTATTACGTATCAGTGCAATAAAAGTGCGTCTGCAAATTTCTCAACAATGCAATGAAATCTCTGTAAAATGACCACTCATGTTTTCGAACGGTTTTTATACTCTAAGTTGGTGGTAGCTTCTTCAGAGACACGAATGATCGATATCTATATTTATTTATACAAGCAGAAGTATTGATTTGGCTACGTATGTTTGTTTGTCTACTGCAGCGTTTTCCAAACTGTGTTTCGTAGAATACAGATACTCCGCAAACAGTTATTAAATATTCCTTGAAAAATTAAGAATGAAAAATTAAAGAGAAAACATATATTAAAGAAGTTTAATTCTTAAAAAATCTTATTTTCTTTTGGATTTTTTATTTTATCTCTTTTTATGAAATTGTTAAGTAAATATAAATTTTTTACTAATACTAACAAATAAGTGTAATATTTTTATAGTTGAAAATATTGTTTTGTAAAATATTATATGTTAATCAAATAGTTATTATGATTCAAGTCTTTACTATAACTTCTCTTCGTATTCCTCACTATGCAAATTTGGTTTGTTTGTATTTAAGACGAGGTTTTGGAATCTTTAGATTAGAGCTTCTGACAATTGTATCTTCTCGTTAGTATTCTCACCAGTTGTACTTAAAAGTTACATTTTCTTGCTTTAACATTATCGCTAGCCGATGTTTCAAATGCGCGCCGGTAAGAAGCCTGAGGCAGCTTACCTTTAATATATTTAACATGTTGTCTTAGATTAAGTTATCAATGTTTTCTGTTATGTTAAATGTAATATCCACAATGGTGGAAGTTTCTTCTGTAGCACATGTTGTGCCTCTTCTGTTACATTAAGGCTAAATTAAGAAAAAAAAATATCATTTTAATCTTCTTCTGTATTTTGAGAATAATTCAAGATGTAACAATAACTCGTTTTGAGTATAGCGGGACTTTAATTTTAGTTAAGGATTTTTCCAGTTACAACAGAGCCCTACAGTTTTAGAAAAATGAATATTCCACTATGATGCGGTATGTTAAAATATTTTGGATTTTCTCACTAGATGAAAATAAACTTGAGTGGTTTCCTACCTTATATTATAAAGTATTTTCTCCCTCTTTTCTGCGTGCCTTCGTGGTGTACCGGTAGCACATCGGCGGGTATTCGAGAGGTGCAGGTTCGAGTACCGGCGAGGGCATTGCTCATTTTTCACACCTCCAGCGTCAAAAATTCGAATGACTTTGCAGTGACGCCCAAAATAAAAGGTGGTGGATGATGATTCTTCACCACCAGGATTCCACTCTTTAAAAGGGGGGGGGAATATATAAGATATTTTCTTCCTCCGTTCTACATGCTTTCGTGGTGTAACGGCGCTACACTCGGCGCATATTTGAGAGGTCCAGATTCGATTCCCGCGAGGACACTACATATTTTTCACATCTCCTGCTTAAAACCAAAAAAAAAAAAAAAAAAATCTAAATAAAAAAAACCTAAATACTCTACAATGTCACCCAAACTAAAAAGTAATGGAAGATGATTCTTCACCACCAGGATTTGGCGATTGGGTCCCCTAATCTTCAGTCACCCTTTAAAAGGGGTACTATTTAAAGTATTTTCTTCCTCCTTTCGCAGGCCTTGCTGGTGTAACATTAGCACATCGACGCGTATTCGAGAGGTCCAAGTGGTTCGAGAACTCCAAGTGGTCCGAGTGGTTGGAGCGCCGGCTGGAGCACTGCTCATTTTTCTCACCTCCAGCCTTAAAATAACCTAACTACTCCGCAATTAAAGTAAACAAGTTAAAATAGATAGTGAAGTTTACAATAAGATATTACTATATTTGCATGACTTGCAGTCACTATTTTCCACAGCACGTAGACAACAATTTTTGCATTCGAAATCCTTTCACAACGTCAGATAACGTCAGATAATAACGCTACACGATATATAATTTTATCAAACGATTACAAGCTAAATGCAGTAACTCCGGAAGTTGTAGTAAACTAACAGGAAGAGGAAAAGAAGTGAAGGAAGAACGAGTAATGGCTGAGTAAAAATAAACCGCATTAAAACCTGGTAACACACTGTCACAATTCACAGGGAATACTAAATTAATTTTATCGGATTCTTTTGAACTCCTCCCCTATTCTGCCCAGGCCCTTCAATTTCTGCTGTGTTCATTATAACAGCAAATTGTAAGGGTTAGGTTAATTTTATTAACAGTTAAATTTTGAGTTAAAGTTCCTTTACTGTCGATTCATAACTTAGTACTTCCGGCCAGAACGCAGTTTTAGAATCACAGCTGAATACATAATGAGGAAGAGTGGTATTTAACCGCGAAGTTCTTCGGTCTTAGAGAGATACTAGGTATTCTGTCTGCACGCGTCCGCCTTTTTAGGCTACTCTCTCGTAAGCTATTATCACCCTCGGCCGTACTGTAGGACCTTGATAACTTCGCAGTCTATTAACGCTAAGGGGCCAACTCTGCTAGAATTTTTGATAGCTTCCGCTG